GCATGTGGGAGCTCAGCTCTTCCTGCACTTACAGCTCCCAACTAGTCTAGTGAAAGCCTGAGGAATGCGCAGGCGCCGAGGGTCCTCGAGCTGCTTCTTGAAAATATCGTTGCTGCGCTGCATTTCGGACGTGATGCTGCCATGCCTGTAAGCTGGTGCTGGTTCGAGTTGACGTGCAGATACGCTGCATTACGCTGCAATTTCGCCTCTGCAAGCGGTCCTCGAGCTTGCTTTGAATCGCCACCTGTGAAGAACAGGAAACGGTCCCTCATTGTCACAGGAACATTCCCAAAAGAACAAGACACCAAACAGGTTGGCCAGCATGCGTCGCAATGCACAAGCTACACCACCAGTCGGAGGACGCGCACATGGTTTGCCCTTGTGCAGCGTGCAGCAATACCGTTATGTTTATCCGACAGCGGCCTCCAGGCCACCTAGCAATGGCGCGCGTTGCATGGATTCCGGGCTGGCACCTTAACAGGAGTTCAGCTAGACGGATGCTTTCACGACGTGTATGCTCGGCTCGAAGCAAACACGCTGTTGCCTTGCAGAGCCAACACCAAGGCCCGTGCGCGCGACAGTCTTCTGGCGCCTGGCTTCTACAGCGATCCGAGCCACGCGAGACTGAATGACGAAAGAAGCACCTAGAAGCACTCAGCCGCAGCTCATGCCTAATTAGCCAAATTGCCTTCGATACGCTGCAGTGGCGGCTGCTGCTGCAGCACCAAGTGCCAGCGGCGCTGCCTCAGCACCGCTTGGCCGCTCCGAAGCTCAGACAGCGGCTACTCGCCGAGTGCAGAGATGCAGCGATGGCTCCCCAGAAAGCCGCAACCGTGATGGAAGCGACAATTTCTACTCACCCCCAGCCGACCGGCACTCCATGCGCTCACCCAGCCCACGAGCCACCAGAGACAAGGAGCATTCGCCGGTGCATCTCACGTTGGCAGAAACTTAACATAAAGGCAATCCGAGACTGATGACAAGCCGCGGCCTCACTTTCACAACTTCCAAGACATTTCTATCATGCGCATGCACGAACCACGGCTCTCGGTGTCCCTCAGTCAGCACTGCTTCATTCACGCGACATTGCAAGCACACCGAGGAAGCAGCAGCATCGGAAAGGCCCGTCTTCGCGCCCACCTGCAAATTGCTCTTTGCTTTGCTTTGCTTATGCTTCTTCCACTGCTCTCCGTCTCTCTCTCCCGCACGCACGGCCGACATCTTCCGGAACGAAGTCGAGCGATGCTTTTCTCAAGACCAGGAGAAGCGGACAACCAGGGATCGGTTGGGCGAAACCAGGCCTCCGGAGCTGTGGTGCTGCGAGCAGCCAAGCCAGGACTGCCTGCAAGCTGCTGAGCCGACCCTCTCCCAACACCGACACGCACGCATTGCCCACAGCATGCAAACGGAATCCCATTCTGGCAACATACAAGCGCCCACAAAATCGACTGGCAGCAAAAACCATCAGCAAGAACTAGGCCACTTGCCGGTTGAGCTCGGCGGGACGAAAGCGAGACCAACAGTGCCTCAGCACGATTGCTGTGACCGAAGTACGAGCGCACAATGTATGTGGAGCCGTAAGATACTACTACTTGTAGGATGACATCCTCGCCAAAAGAGAATATTGATTTGCTGCCCTCATCGAGAACATCGAGTTACTGCGTGGGGTGGTGCCCCATGCTTTTTGATCGGCGCTCGGTGCTCGGAAGCAGTGCAAAGCGCGGGCAGGCTGTGTGACGGCTGCCCGGTTTGCTCCGAGCCGTCCGGGCCCCAGGCTTGCAAAGCATGTTTGGCACAGGTCATGATGCTGGGAGCAGTCGGACTAATCATGGCGATGTTGCCGGAGGCCCCTCTGGGACCATTGCACTACACAACCCCTGCACAGATTCATGCCTGGTGGCTTGCGTTCACTTGTGTGCACTGCACCTAAAAATCGGTCTCTAGGGCTTGCACAGCAACCAAACGATGTGCTGGTTGGGTAGCCAAGTGCAAGACAGCAGTACTAAGAGCTGGGCAAGCCACAGCTGCGGCCGTTGTCGAGTACTTCCTGCTCAGGCAAGACACCACTTTTGCTCAGAACACTGGCATGTGAGCTGTCCCACCTCACAGTCGAGGCCATCTCGAACTTGACTAGTTGCAGTGCTGCTTTTCCACCACAACAGCTGCGATGAGTTTCGTAGGCACTTGCATGACTTGGAAACGTGTGTGAGCGACCCGGGACTGCAGCAGCGACACTATCGTCACGAGGCACCCAGGTGAACTCTCGAAAACTTATGCCTACCTGCTTTTCTCTGCGTGCAACCTGCCAAGCTTCCTGCTGCTTGTCTGAACCTCGAGCTAGAGATGCTAAGCTCTCGTCTTGAGAGGATCTTCTAGCCTGCTCTTCAATTTCTCAGAAACGACTCCAACATCTTCAAGAAGTTGACGCCCACTTTGGGACAGAGCAGCTTTGGAGGTCTTTCGTGCGGGAAAACTGGAGTCTTGCCCCAAGCACATCCCAAAGCTCATGGTTGCTAGAGAGGCCTGTCTCCTCCACTGATGTTGTGTGCTCGGGAAGACTCTAGTAAGTACTGTCCAAAGAGAAGGTGCCTTCGGAGGCATTGAAATAGAATCTGTGCCTGACCTCCCAATCTTCCACACGGAGATGCTGGATCTCATACCGGCATACCGCTAATTGATAATCGAGGAAGGAACCGAAACTCTGCTTGCAGTGTCTTAACAATATCCTGTTCATTCTTACCGCACCGGAATGAGCATATCATTTATTCTGGCAAAATCGCGTGGAGTCTTGCGAAGTCTCTGCGTGTTTGTCCTTGCGTTGGCCTACTGGCAGGGCGCCGTGGTACCAGGGGTCAATGGGGCCAAAATGAGGTGGCCTGACATCTGCTCCGGCCCTGCTCCTGGCGCCGTGGTGACTCTACAGCTCGTGCTCTCAGACTGCAGTCGGAGATCTTAGGTTCCATGATATCTTATTCGCTGTGGAGGTTTTGTGGCACAGCTGCGATGTGTTCCTCGAAAGGCAAGCAGTTTTAGCTTGCCGCTTGTCATCAGAATATTCACAGCTTCAGACAGCTCGAAGATCTCTCAAGCCGCCCTGGCCTGCTGCCTCGGTTGCGCAAAGGCGGCGGCAGCAAGTGCACGAAGCATCGCCAAGCCACTCTGTTGGTGTGGCCGCTGGAACAACCAGTGCGAGGCTGCATCTACAGCAGCTGCTCAGCACAAACTTCACTGCAGCTTAGCCGCTCCTGCCGCAGCTGTGCGGCTTTGCCCTGCAAAGTCCAGACCCGCCCAACTCTGCTGCATCCAATGCCATGCCATGCAGGTCAATGTGCCTGGAGCTTGGCAACAGTTTGCCTCGCCGCGTCTGCATCTTGAGCCGCCTTAGCCTGCAGCAGCCAAAGCAGCCGTAGCAGGCTCAAACAACATGCGGCTACTCGACCCCGAATCCCTGGCAGCGACCTGGCTTTGCAAGGCTTGTCGCACACGCTCCTGGCTGCCAAACCGCTCAGATCGTCAGATCATTCGGGTTGCAAAGACCCAGCCGCCCTGAAACCCTGGGCCCCCTTGTAGGCCACTAGGCCCTCACTGGGCCGCTCCTTTGCTACCGACGCTTCGGCGAGGAGCCTGGCGGCCTCAAGGTCGATGGCGTCGCAAGGACACCGAAATCGACCCACGCGCCCCGCGCCTCCTCCCCACTGCAACTCTGTGCCTGCTGCACTGCTCTCAGCTGTGCCGATTTTGCCTCCTCACCGATCAAGCGTCGAGACATGAACTTTCGTGGACACAGCATCTGCGATCTCTCCTCAACGAGCTGCTTCGCTGCAGCTTCTTCCTGCTGCGCCTGGACCACGGAGCCGTCTAGCTTTGAAGCAAAGGGCAATCGGCGGTCTGCCTGAGCCTCAGCACTTCGGGCCTTGGAAAAACGAAGGATTCCACCCGATTCCACTCCCGATCGTTTCTTTTCCATATCTGGCCTTCTGGATCTCTGTCTCCAGTGCAGCAGTCTGTGCCTGGAGCAGGACGGACAGAAGAGCATGGGGGGGGGACGGCCGGCAGACTCCTACAAACAAATTAAACAGAGTCTAAACACCATACAGCTAACTATGCTCAGAAGTGCCACACCCATGAGATCCTCGACCGATGTGCTGGAACACTGGAACTGTCAGCCTCTGCAGCTTGCGCAGACTCCACCGCCTGTCTGCAGGCTGAGGGGAGGATCAGGATGTGTGTGCCCGGAGCCGAGAAGATTTCCTCATGAGGTTGTGAGTGTGCCCAGCACTAGGCTCGAAGGGAACACACCTGAACACACCTGTACATTGGTGTTGCTGGATCCTGCTTTGCATGGTATGCTGAAATTGGTTGAAGTCTTCAGGACTCGCACGGGCCTTGGCTCCAGCGGCTTGGGGATGCGCTGGGTGTTGAGAGCCCTCCTGCACCAGAAAGCAGCAAACAGGAGTCGGAAGCTCTTGTGGCCTGGCACAATCGTCTGTGGCAAGAGCCCAGCACCAGAGTTGCCTGGAATTCTGCGAGATGCTTGGTCAACTCAGACTTTTCCTTCTCCTTCTGGTGAAAGTAGGCCTGGTGCGCGGTTCTGTGCTGAATCTGTCCTCGTAGAATCTCGTACACTAACAAAAAAAACATGTATCGCGGCGGTTTGCTTGCACAGAACTAGATGCCAGAGGCCCAATACCCCGGCCCAAGAGGATTTCCTCTCGGCCGCCCAAGCTTTGGCTGACTACTTAAGTGAACCTGTTTGGTACCTATAAGCCGGTTGACAGGAAGCGTCATGGGTTGAACTTATCATAGGTTTTTCCTTCCAAATACGGGTTTTTTGGGGTCTTCTCTACGAAGGTTGCTCGATGAACCTGGACCTGGCCACTTCCTTTCGCAATCGGGTCTTAAAGTTGTGTAAGAGAAAACCATGTCGAACCACATCGGTTCCAGCGGCTGAAGGGACTTTCGGTATCTCAGCGAATTCTGTTGCCTGCGTCGGGTTGGCCAAGCGGTGGTGCATGATGCTGACTTTCTTGTTGCCACTTGGTTTAACCTTCCTGATTCTATGCTTGAGGCTATAGTCTTTGCCCCCAGGTCGAGGGCAATGGACTGGAACGCAGCGTGGGAGGAGAAGATAGCTTCTCCGGTGGCAGCTGGCAGGACAAGTCTACCAAGAGACCTATGCAGTGTTCGCGAAGACTGTGGGAGCAGAATTGAATGCTGAGCCGTGAGTGACGACCCTGAAAAAGTGGATGCGTTTCTACAGAAACTTAGGAAACCCAACGACGCTTTGCCGCATTCATGCCTTGATGTTTTTGGTGTGTGCCTCACAGTTCCCCAGAGTCCGACATGTGACGATGCTCTGACGTGTCTCCTTGAAGCCAAGAGTGTATGTCGATGTGGAGCCCTATCGGGCTTCTGGCAAGGTGATGTCTTCATATCGGAAACTGCATGAGATCTTAAAGCGCCGGACATCTCGCTGGGCCAGCAACTGAGAAGCCTGAGGCGGTGTCCTATGCTGGAAGGGTTCACACTCGACACCATGGTTGCTTCTTCAATGCAAAGCAAGCCAACGCGCACACGCGAGCGCCTTACGACAGCTTCCCACGGATTCTCACATCTGCAAGGCTGCAGGTGGGCAGGGGTCTTGCAGGTGACCAGGTTGAAATCCCGAGGTGCGCCGAGCAGAAGATTTCACTGTTACTTTTCTCGATGGAGGAAAGCCATCTTCCTTTATCGCAAACCCTTCGCTGTTCAACCGTATTTGCGGTCGGCCTCCTGCGCTTTGACGGGACTCGATGTATGCAGACTTTCACACGGCACAAGTGCTCGGCCTGCATCTGCTGCACCTCGGCTGCCAGCCTGGTGTTGTCGTCCTCGCACTCTTGCAAGCGATACCTGTTCGCAGGCCCCTTCTGCAGCTGCTCGACTGGGGGGGGAAGTCTCACCGCTCAGGCCCGGGCGACAGGACTTTCTCGTTCTGGGCCTGGTCCTCCAGCATGGCAATACGGTCCTGGCAGGGTGCTTTCCGGTTCGGATCCCGCTGCTGGCTGCGGTATAGTGGTCTCCGTGCCTTCAGATTCTTCTCATCTGCTTCCATCAGCGGAATGATCTGCTGCAGAGCCTGATGCCTGAAGCGATGATGCTCACGGCCCGAATACCATTGCACTACGCCAATTGCATTCTGGCAGTTCCCTAGGCAGCACCCTACATGTGGAGCTGGCGCTTGATGCTGTCAGTGCTGCCAAGGTCCAGACCTGTCTTCTGTCCTGTTGAAATTTGCCTGACCGAAAGACATCGTCTCTATGCGAGGCTGCTGAGAAAGGCAAAAGCCACAATGAAAGGCAGCAGGTCTCCTGTATGCGTTGCTCACGCATAAGGGCAGCTCGCTTCTCCTGTACGGCCGACACTTTGCCGAGTCCAGTGGCAAGAGCTTTCCCACAGCTCCTGCTGCAGCCTTGTCTGCTCAGTCGACAATCCTTGCAGAACGAAGCAAGCTTTCGAGCTTCGAAGCAGAAAACATGCAAGCAGATCAAGCAGCACTGCTGAGAGTGTTGGACAAGCTGAGGGCTGTGCGCTGAGAGTCAGCTTGAGCCAGCTGCAGGCGCATGGACAGCTCCTGTTAGGGCCACATTAGTTCAGATCACGGATCTACTTCAAGCCACCCACGCCGCCGTTGGCATCGGCTTGAGCAAACACCGGCTGGACCTCCTACAACTGAGGGAAAGCTGACAACTCCTGAACCCCGCCTGATTCTTGTTGTTTTGTGCGAGGAGGACATTCTCAGCCGCTTGCACCTGCAATTTCGCACTGCTCTTTTTCGGGGGAGTCCGGAGTGATTTTCAATTGCCGGTCTGCACAGCTGAGCCATCCTGAAGCTTTCGAAAACTCTTCCACAAGTGATCCTTTAAACAGCAGAGCTCAACACTGTCAGCGCCGTAGCATCCTTTTCCGTCGTGGTCAAATGGTTGCACGGCGAGTTTGTGGTGCCTTTCTGGTAAGCGCGACGATCTGGTCTTTGCACTTGAGGAGTTCAGCCTGCACCTGACTAGCACAAGCGGGCACAAAGCGAGTCATGCTCGAGTACATTGCAAAGGCCTCGCCGTGCAAATGCACAGCCGACTGAAGCCTGGCGTATGTCAGGGCTCCAGGGTCAATGGATAACTGTTATCCGCTAACAGTTTGCCTTCCGACCACACGCTGGGGACTGGGCGCGGTCTGCTTTGTCTGCAACACATTCCGAAGGTCTTGTGCCTGCCCGCTGCCATGACTGTACTCGGGTCCATCCCAAAATGCAAAGTCGCAAAACGTCCCGAGCGCAGCAGAAAGCTGCCTTGGCTGCAGCCTCCCTCCTTTCAACCTGACAGAATCTTGTGTGTGCAGTGGGACTCAAGCGTGTGAAGGCCAAAGGAGGGGGTTCTAGGACATAGGGCTTTTTCGCGGAAGCACGGTATGTAAGCAAATATCGAGGGTTTCAAGTGGCTTTGGGCCTTCGCTACTCCCGATTTGGGATTGTGTGGGAGACGTGGGAAACTTCTCACTAAAAACACCCCGAGTGCTTCGGCTGCTTCTCGCGCGACAACAAACAAGTCGAATTCGATGCCGCCTGGCGAGTCTCCTCCAGCTCCCTGGCAGAGACAGGCCACTTACTGTTCTGGTACCCTGCTGTAACATTGTAACGGTTGCAACTCCACTCTCAGGCTCAATATGCCGACTGTGCACAGGCGAAGACCGAAGGCAGGATACACGCCTCATACTCTGCTGCAAGCGAGACGTCGCCATGGTGAGCTGGTCCAGCTTCACCTGTCACAGTCGCGACTCCAACGAGAGCAAAACATCCCGGTGGATATTGTTCTGCCTCCTTCTCCTTTGCTTCGCCTTCGAGCTGCGAAATCTTGGCGGAGTTCTTCTTCTCCACTTCCCTCGAGTTGCAAAGAACCCAGAAACATCTCTGGACCTCTCCGACCCAGATCAGTAGAACAGGCTTCCCTTCTAGCAGATGACATGATCTCCAAGACTCTAAAACACCTCAAGACTAGTCGCAGTGTCTGCAGCTGCACCAACCCCCGACCCGCTTTCAGGAATCGATGTTGCGTGCTGTCCCCTCTGCTGCACAGCCACCTCAGGTTGCGCTCAAGCGCAGTCACTTCTTCCTGCAGCTCGTGGCAATTGTCCTCAAGGTCGCGTCAGCTTCGGTGCTGCCACACCCTCTGTGACAGTGGACTCTGCTTGCGCTCTGGTCCCAAA